CATCGTCACTTGCACCACCATTTCATAGTGTGCTACTGTATCTATTAGACCAAGTCAAGTGTCATTTTAGAGAGTTTATCTAATTGTACTCTTGGTGTCCCGCACATAATCATGTACATGTACATTGATAACAGTGTCCGTTTGTGTAAGTGCGAGATTACGCATACCGGAACATACCCATGCACTGTACACTGCACAATGTATTCATGAGGGGTATACCGGTAGCAGCAGGGAAACCTACAATGTAATTCGGGATTAGTGTAAGGGAAACCCGATTGAAATAAAGTCTAAAGAAGAGGAACCCAAAGTCAAAGACACCCTTCACGACACTAGTAGTGCGCGGCGTTGTCCTGTGCTGCATTGCTTGATGCATGTGTCACTGCAGTCATGATTTAGAATCGTGTTGTGTACTGCCACTACATTCACGTAACGTCGTTGCAGTGCCAACGGTGCATCGCGGATGTGCAATAATTATTGATCCCTACATGACAATAGTCATGAAGTTGGCCATAGAAGAGGCCTAGATCAACTGTCAGTACGAGTAGGGGGTAGATGGCGCCATAAATGTGCAATGTACCTCCACAAAGGCAGAAGAGAACAGAGACAACCGGCTAGGTAATTGTTATAACCCTGAGTATCATGCTGCGTTTCATGCACATACCCGGTACATGTAGCAAAGTTAGCCGCTAAGGCAATCATTAGACAAGAAGCCCAGCCCAGCCCGTCCTTTTGGATGTGACAATCTCCGAGTTAGACCTGTACTGGTCCTTTATCAGCTAAGCATGAACTTATCATGGTTACCATAATACGACTACTGGTGTACCGTATTTTTCGGAGTATAGTGCGCACTTTAGATGTGCTATTTTAGGCCCTAAGTCGCAGGTGCGCACTGTGCTCCGAATATGAAATGCATGTACATGTACTTCAATGAGGATTGAAGTGCGCACCCCCAACGAAGATTGGGGGTGCGCGTTATACAAAGGTGCGCACTATACTCCGAAAACTACGGTACTGGTATAATTATTTAATTATTATGATGTCATCATGATCTAGGACACTGGCCTGGTTTTCTTCAACACTGACACCGTTTACTTTAGTCAGGAACTCGTACTCATACTCATAGTTTAAATCTCCTACCTAAAAAAATTATGATGTCATGTACATTCTGTGCAATGACACTAATAATAATTATGTTGAGTCTGTTGATGGATTGACACTTCGCGATGACATGTCATACATAATATGTATACATGTAGACTCCACAGTACAGTACATCAGAATGATGTTCTTCTAGTATGCATATGATGGACCGGTGCATGGCACATGGTAGATCTTATTCTTCTTTATAATTTATTGTTATTATTATGTCATCTTTAGTGCCAAAGACAGTTTTGCGTGGTTTTGCCACTCCCTTTGCTTGGTCACGCTGCGTCAATGACATTTTGTACATGCGCATGTATGCAGTGACAGTGTCACACACACACAGACGATTTACTAATAGTCAGTGATGCCTGATGGACAAACTAACTAATGAATAGTTTATATTCAGAAACACTTCTACCACGCACATGCACGGCAAAATGAGCACTACACCGTGCGTATTACAACTACTACACGTAGTAACTCTTACTGCAGTACACTGTAGTCTGCCAAGCAAACACACAAATACACGCGCACACACACACGTGCACTATTCCGTAGGTCTGCGTGACTGCACGTGTGTGTTTAGCATTAATTTTTTTTAAATACAGGGAACTGGATTCCACCGTATTACATGTAGACCTACAGTCCATTCATTGGAAACTGGCACCCTAACTTTTTGATGTCTCCTGTACATAGCTGTAGATATCGTGAAAACAACAGTACAGTCATGTACATCCTGCATTGTGTGACCCGTGCAATTACTCCTTGCCACATTTGAGGCCAGAAAAGTCCAAGAACAGGGAAATAGAAATTCAGCCAGGTTTTACTAAATTAGGACAGGTATGCCATGGCAAAATGTATGGAGAAGCAGATCCCAAACCCAGATTTTTGAGATTTAAAGTGGGTTTTTGATCCTCAATTCGGCCCAAATCCGACTTTCAAAATCCAGCGGGCCAGTTTCCGATGAATGGACTGTACATGTACATGTATAATATCATTGTACATGGCGGTATGCCGCCGTTGCGCTCTGTGGCCGACTGGCCACACACACGTACACTTCCCAGAAGTTCTGAACAGCAAGAAGGTCCTTCCTACATTGATTTTAAATTGTGTAAATGAAAATTAATGTTCTGACAGTTTTGAACTCGGGTGGAGAGCCAGTTTAATTATGGTAAAAAGGAGATGGACACAAGTTTACGAGTCATGACTGTCCACCAACGTATTATATACCAGATCATAATTATAGAGTCAGCGAGTGCGACAAAATGGCACCAAACTGACAAGGAGTGCTGAGACATTCAGCTCTTCTTTGTTGCCGTGGGCATACACTGTACCTCGTATTCTTCTTCGTTGAACTTTCCTTCCCCTCTTGGACCTTTCCGAACTAGAGCCTTCCTACAATGTAGTTGGAATGTTGTTGGTTTGTGCCTGGGAGAAGTGTTGCGTGTGACGGATCCAGTGCTAACCGGCTGCTGAGTGCTGTGGTCCGTCAAACGGCAACGGCCAGGGCCAGGGCTAGGGATACTTATTGTGTGTAACTGTAAGGCCGGGCGGAGGTGCACCTCCACTCGAGCTACATACTTGAAGTACAAGACACACAGCTACATGTACCTAGGCTGTGGACTAGAGACACTTCAGTAGGCATATGCGGATAATGCCGGCAGAAAAAATGGCGGAATTCGGTACATTTTCTGGTAAGTTTCATGCACGTTTGGTATGTGGATAAAGAAATGGAGCAGAATTCGAGGAATTGCCCGCCATAAGGTTTGTATGGTTCTGCCGATTTCACTGCTTTTCCAGCAGAATCTGCCACCTTCTCGAGCATTATCCGCACACCCCTACTCTTCAGACTTCACATTCGCATTGCTTTTTTGTACTCGTTTGGCGTCGTGACGTCTGACGCGCAAAACGTACATGTACATGTAGATCTAGGTCTCCGGCTGTGAAGGAAATCGGACGCTCGTAGTCACAGTGTCAGTAGCATTTCGTCAGAGCAGCGGCAGCTACATGTAGCTGTACGGTATGTGTGTTTGTGTGTGTGTGTGTGTGGGGGGGGGGGTCTGTGCGCCGCGCGTGTATGTGTGTTCGTGTGTGTATACATGTATGTGCGTGTACATCCCGTGCAGCTCGGTAGTCTGAGGCTATGAGTACTGGTATGATTGTGTCCGTGGCTGTGCGCGTGACAGAGTGTGTGTGTGCGCATATATGTACACGTGTGTGTGTGTGTGTGTGTGTGTGTGTGTGTGTGTGTGTGTGTGTGTGTGTGTGTGTGTGTGTGTGCCACTGTGTGCGTACATGAATGTATGTATGTGCGTGTGCATGTACATGTATATACGACTGACTGACTTTCACAGTGTCTTCTGGGCTAGAGCCTCTTTTGTGGGCAAAGGACTGTCACAGTGTGTGTGTGTGTGTGTGTGTGTGTGCGTGTGTGTGTGGCGTGTGTGTGTGTGTGTGTGTGTGTGTGTGTGTGTGTGGGTGTGGTGTGTATGTGTGTCTGTGTGTGCGTGCGTGCGTGGACTAAAACGCGCATATAATTATAGCGTACACAAATCCCGTGCACCTGGAGCGTCATCGAGCGTCGTGTCCTCTCTCTCTCTCTCTTCTCAAGTTTCCCAGTGATGGGATCACGTGACCCTTTTGCGGCAGTGACTCTACAGGACAGGACAGGTGTGTGTGTGTGTGTGTGTGTGTGTGTGTGTGCGTGTGTGTGTGGTGTGTATGTGTGTGTGTGTGTGTGTGTGTGTGTGTGTGTGTGTGTGTGTGTGTGTGTGTGTGTGTGTGTGTGTGTGTGTGTGTGTGTGGTGTGTGTATGTGTGTCTGTGTGTGCGTGCGTGCGTGTGTGCGTGGACTAAAACGCGCATAATTATAGCGTACACAAATCTGTGTCATTTTTAATTTTACGTGTTCCACATGAGTCGACAAAGCTAGCGCCTACTTGAACACACCATTCGAAACTGACGCAGAGTGATAGTAACAGAGCGCTACCAACGCACGCTACGAATACAATCATGTTGTTAGTTCGACAGCATGAAACAAGGTGGACACAATCATGCTTGTAAAGTTGTATACCATACTGTTACCCTAGTTATTTCGTGCCCCCTAAAGAATACAGCGAAAGCAACAGTTAGTTAATTCCAAACGAAACTAACTTTATATTTAAAGTTATGTACCTCTTTCAGACGTGTCGACAGTCAGTAGCCTAGCCCTTCACTCCGCTTCAGTCGACACGCGCGTAGATCTACGCGCGGATCGGCGACCTGTCGAAATTTTAAAAGTGTAGCCATTGTGGCTGTGTCACTGACTGTCAGTACACTGTATAGTCATGTACAGCACTACAACAGCGCTGTCGTCGACATCCATACACAGCTCGACACTCGATCGGAGGATCGATCGGCGACGGCCCGACGGGTCGGAAATAATTTTTCAAAGCGAGTGACTACACAGTACAACAATGCATGTAGCCAAGTCAGTAGTGACAGACTGTCGACGTCCGGAATGTATGGGCCAGTCTACCTCAGTACACGACAGGTCAGTAGATCTACGTACTCAGTTTAGTAGTGTACATAGTCCACGGTAGAGAGAAGTGCTACTGCTAGTCTTTTGATTTGAAGTGAGTACTCAGTAGATCTACGTCAGTGTATGCAGTAGATATACAGTACACACAGTCAGTAGATCTACACTGTACTCTACACTACAAATCAGTACAGTACATGATGTACAGACTACAGACTAGTACAGTACAAGCAGATCTGCGGAGCTGGCTACATTAGCAGAGCATGCATGCATGCAGAGGTCGGACACTGCATCATCAGCTAGAGTGAATGGCTGGAGTGCTTGAATCGTAGTGGCAGTACAGTGTCGAAAACTAAAGTTTGCTTGACGGATTCATTGAAAAGGAATCTTCAGCTCCCACTCCCTGCGTGTGTGCTTCGCAGGCAACTAGAGCAGCTAGATCTCTCCCAGCCCTTCTGTAGTCAATAGGGTGTTGATGCGCGTGGATAGCTGGCTGGTTCGATGTGGTAAAACAGCAGGCGATACGCGGACGAACACCAACAATCGTCCCCTTCTCGCTCTACCACTGTAGTTCCAGTGGCAGTGGTCATTTTAGGAGAGAATTTGGTTTTCAGTCTTTGATTTCTCAGTAGTTGAACCGCAGGTTACGAGCTGAGAGCAATTGAGTGCAGCATCCTCTCGGTGTGGGAGAGGAGCGAGAGAGATAGGAAGGAGAGAGAACGCCAGGCCGCAGGGCAGTAGTGAAGCGAAGAAGATGACTCGGTTAGTTCTCTTGCTCGGTTTAGCCAGCGTATGTCTTGTGCACGGCTTCAATATCGAGGTGAGACAGGTCGTTCGAAAGGTAAACCCAGGAAACCCAGGGGAGCTATTTGGAACATCGGTGGCCTTCCATGCAACCACCAGCGACCCTGCAACGGCTATAACCTAGTAAGCGAATGAAATGTGTTTGTCTTGTTCTTTCCTCATGTGTTCCGTATATTCTGGCATGTGGCCTTGCGGCCTTGGTTTGTAGATCCCTGTGTGACTGTGTCGTTTTGGACCTGCATCAGATAATGATTGCGAACCGGGCCGTGTTCCGCTCCGTTCTTGTTGCGGCGACAGAGCTACATTGTGCTTTGGAGTGGTTGTGTGTATGCGTGCTTGTGCGATTTGTGAAAAGTCCCATTTGTTTAGTGCGGCCCGGAAGTCTTTCTCCATCCATTGCACCGCGTCCGACAGCCCATTGCAGGAATGAGTGTGGGCCATGGGGTCACACTGTGTTTTATCACAGTCAGAAATCTGTCAGAATCACAGAATCAGAGTTCTGTTGCTTCTGAAGAAGTTCTGTTGAGTCGATCAAACTGTAGTAGTGGTGTAAGCCAGTTCTCTAACCCCGGCTCCTTTCTAACATAATCATTGATTGTTGCGCGAGCTGATGGCTGTTCGTGCGCGCGAGTTTGTACGTGGACGATTGAGCGATGTATTTCGAGGCGGCTTGTCTGGGGTCATCGCTTGCGAGTTGTTGCAGCAATCGTCGCGTGGCGGTGTTTTAGGAATCAACGAGGTGTGTGCGAGTGTAAACTGGAAACGTTTGTACTTCAACTCGTTGGCGATGCCACAAACTTTCCACACTCAGTGAACAAACCTTGCACACAATCATACGATTTGTGATGATAACCATACTTATCGTCTTTCTGAGTGCGTCGTCCGGAATTTATTTTTCGTTCTACGGAAGTCTCGCCTTCGCTTTTGGCTTTGCCACGGTGTGCGCCTGTCTTCTGTGTCACAATCGCTGTCTGAGATATCGGTGAGGTTTGAATGGGGGGGGGAATCGATGCGCCCACACCTGTGATTGTCAGCCTCATTCTTTCCACCCACCGCCCCCTATCGGCCGCTGACTGTCCTCGTATCTCTATGAAGTACGATAGTAAGAGTTGGGCGCAGCCAGCGAGGCAGGATTTCCCGTCTGCTTCACTGTCCACTTGTCCTATCTCCGGAATCGTGGGAAGCCCTGCATCAGTGTTGGCGAGATAGCAGTCTGGATGCAGCGAAGTGCACACCCATTCAAACAAAGTACTGATTGCCCTTCTGAAATGAATTGTTTCCAAAAGCGGGAATTTTTTTGAACCGCCTCCTGCATTTCTGTTCATTTTTGCGCCAAATCCAGAGATTACAGACAATAAGAGTGAGTGGCTAAAACGGGCTACAGTCAGTACGAAGTGATTTGGCTTTTTTTTAACATGGTTGTAAAATCACGTTTTTCAGCCACTTCTAGGCAAGCTACGTCCAAATGAATTGTTGCAAGTGGCTGTCCCCGGGGAAAATCGCGGAAAAAATCGCAAAAAAACGCGGCAAAAAACGCGGCATAATATGGCATAATTTGCGGTGAACTTGCGGTAAATATGCGGTGAATATGCGGTGAATATTATTGATATCATCTCGCGGCGGCAAGTTTGCAGTTGATATGAGGCAATTTCCAGTGAGTATGTAGTGAAATCAATCAGTTACAAGTCTCTGGCGTAAGCACTCGTCACATAAAGGCACACGTGCACCGTACATTGGAACAGCTAGCTAGGGGTGAAACGGTTCGGGTAAGGAACCGGTTTTGGAACCGCCAGCTGAAAAGAATCGGGTACCCGTTCCGTCAAATTTCGAACCGAAACTCGAAAATCTCCTTCTCGTACAAATACATGTACACGCCAAGTCTACTCAAGATTTTTAAATGTCTTACCTTATGATCACCGCCCTTCCAAAGGGTTCTCCTATCGATCCTGGTCACTACGAGCGTACCTCCTTCGCACATGGACTCTCCGATGTCTCGTTCTTGCTCGTAAAAATGGTTTCTACCTTGAAAATAATTGT